AAATAATTGTTTTTATCTCAATCACTTTCTCTTTATACAAGATAAATATTTATGTATAACAAATAATATACGTACATAAAAACGAAGCGAATCTGTGGGTGTTTTAAAAAACATTTTATTGGGCTTTGCACTTTTTCCCATTTTTCCGGAGGCCACACTAGTAAAACTTATCTTCAAACTTAAAGTGTTTCTTAAACAGATTAAGTACCATTCTTCTAAAGTCAAAAATGATCGTGTATAAGTTATTTTGGCAAAAATTCATAGATAGATGTGATAGCGTTTTTTATATAAACAATTCGTATATGGGTACAAATATCAAAATAAGTAGATATCCAGGCATGTTCTAAAATTCGAAAATTTGAAATCGACTCTATTTCGGTAATTTTTTTCGATGGTTTTTAACCCAAAAATTTACAAGCCTCGCATTAAAATGATTTATTTCATATCGCTGCTGCTTCTTTTACAGTTTTCAATTAGAATATTCACTCTTTTCATCAGATATAATTAAAACAAGTAAGAAAGTCTAAGTTCGGGCGGAGCCGAACATTAAATACCCGGCGCAAGTATTAAATATATGTTTTCCACCTTTCCGAAAGCTACCGCTACATGATAAGCCGGGGTGTATACATTTTAAGTAAATTAGCGTCCTTAAATTTCGAAATATTGAAATTTCAAGCATATCAGAAATTTACCGTTATGTGAAAAGCGGCCTCAATTTTAGTCCGATTTCAACAATTTTCAACGGTTTGCTTTTATGTGGCAAGCACAATAACCATACCGAGTTTGGTTCAAATTGCTAGAACGGTTAGCGAGATACATATATGTGATCACAAGTGGGCGGTGCTACGCCCATTTTCCAAAATTTTGTCATAAACGTATTTCTTGGTAAAGATTGTTGCAATCATCAATTTTGAATAAATTAGCTTCAATATTTACTGATTTATCGAAGATTTTGTATTTCTCGAAATTACCGTTATATGGGATGTGGGCGTGGTTATTGTCCGACTTTAAAAATTTTCGGCCAGTATGCTGTACCAGGACCAACAACTGTGCCAAGTTTGGAAGAAATTGGTGTAGCGGTTACCAAGATATACACATGTAACCATAAGTGGGCGTGGCTACGCCCATTTGCCAAAATTTTGTAATATTCTTATTTTTCGTCTAAAACTCATTGCAAATATCAATTTTGAGTGAATTATCTTCAGTAGTTACTAAAATATCGCAGTTTTCGTTTTTCTGAAAATTACCGTTATATGGGAGGTAGGCGTGGTTATTGTCCGATTTTTAAAATTTTCATCCGTTTAGTATGCTGTACTAAGGCCACCAACTGTGCCAAGTTTGGAATAATTGGTGCAGCGGTTACCAAGATATACACATGTAACCATAAGTGGTTAATATGCGATTTCGCCCATTTTCAATACCATCCGTCCCACGCCCAAAAGAAGTTCACGTACCAAGTTTCGTTAAGATATCTCAAGTTTTACTCGAGTTATCGTGTGCACAGACGGACGGACGGACGGACAGACAGTCACCGCTTAATCGATTTCTCTTTTCATTCTGATCATTTATGTATACAATTGTCTATATCTATCTCGATTCGTTTCGCCTGTTACAAACAACCGTTATGTGAACAAAGTTATAATACCCTTGTGCACAAGTGCGCTCGGGTATAAAAATATTTGGCAAATCGAGTCGATTTCAAAGTTTCGAATTTCAGAACATGCCCGATCGATGCTTTTAGCCCGATACTTAGTAGGTATCGATACTTTCTTTCGATGCTACATCCAAGTACAGGTATCGATGCTTCCATGGTATTGTTTTATCCCTAAGTCGGTTTGGTCACTCATCGATTGAAGCACGCAGATTTATTTTAAGCCCTCTAATGGTGAGAGTTTTAGGCGCAGTAATTGTCCTGCTTAAAATTAAGGCTAAAAATGTGTACAAGTATGACTATAAGCCAAGTGTATAATTACGTATTCCATCAAGAGTAGGCCAATAGCTTAAATTTCTGGTGAAATAAACATGGTTGATTTAAAAAAAAGTGTCAATAGGAGAATCACTTGTACAAGGGAAACACTAAGTGCCGGTTGTTCAATGTCTAGTTAACACTAATCTGCGGTTAAACATCGTTATCGACATCTGCGACTCTATGCACACAACAGGGAGTCGGCAACCTCAATAACTATGTTCAACCGGAGATAAGTGTTAACCAGACATTGAATACCCGGCCCTAAGTGTCGATTGTTGACATGTGATCGATAGTTAAGTCGTTTTATTTTTTTTTATTTAACCGGAGATTCTACGTCCGATCTATGTTAACCGGACATTGACAAACGGCCCTAACTAGGACAACCGAAGACGAAATTGAACTCGGGAAGTGGTGTTTTGTCCTCCATCCATGGTTTAGCCAATAGTATAATGAAAAATAGACTTGAAGAAACCACTACTTCTTTTCTAAACACTTGTACAAGAATCACAAAGATTATGTTTTCAGATAACTTTATTTTTTTTTACAAATCCAATTGATAAAATAGAACAGAAAAAAATATGTGACTAAAATATAAAATTGTTATACAAAACATAGCAAGAGTGCAGATCTGGTTACACTGTGGTAATGGCAGTGAAAAGACAACATTGTGATATGATAAATTGACTTAGAACATGCGTCACAGCGTATCTAATAAGAGTAAAAAAGAAGGAAGATAAAGATAGTGTTGGAAAAACCAATAAAAAACCAAGGAATTGAAATACAAGGAAATAAAAAGATTTACAAAATTTTTTTTTATCAAAAGTGTTTAATTAAACTAAAACTATTTTTTTTCATCGATTCATTGTCTGTTTGTATTAGAGCTCTCGATTTTGTTCGCACATTTTCAAACAGCCCGGGTATATGAGCAGCGAGTACTCTCACACTTGTTCAATGCTCATTACTCGAAAATTTTCGAGCATGAGCTCGAGCAATTCGAGTTTTTTCGAGTAATTTGAGCAATGTTTTTTTTATTATATTGACATTTTTGGAAGCAACTTTTTAAATATTTCAAATTATTGATATATAATGCAAAGATTGTTACATTGGTTTTTATTAATACAATTTATTTAACATGAATTAGAAATCAGCTGCTGACAAATACAATTTACAAATTTTCTTTTGTTTATGAAATTGTTCAAAAACTCGAAAATTTTGAACAAACATTTGAGCAGTTGAGCAATGAACGAGTTTCGAGCGAGTATCGAGCTACTCGCATTGCTCGATACCCGGGTATCTAGAGCTCTAGTTTGTATGCATGTATGTATGTATGTAAATATGTAGCACGTGTTCCAGTTACATAACGTAATTGACTATGACCAGGTGCTTGTACGATTTTATATATTACATAGGTATATGTGTGCGTATTTTCCCGTTCGAAACGCCATTCAATTCAGTGAAATTAGTGGCATCCCTTCTTAGATGGTGCCTGGTGCTGGTTCCAAGTTCACTGAGGCAGCTGATTGCACATGTCCGGGCAGAGGTGCAACATGCACAGCGCCACGTGTTTTGGCGACATAGGTGCCCTCTGCAGCCACAACAGCTGGAGCAGCCACCACCGCTGGGCTGGTGATGATCTGTACTGGCGATGGTGCGGCAACGACAGCTGGCACGGCAGAGGCTTGTACAGCAATAGAGCCAGGTGGAGAGGCCAAAACGACGCCATTGATGGATGTGACCACGCCTGGGATGATCGAGCAGTGAGCAGCGCCAAGGGCCAAAGCGAACAAGACTACGGAAACGGCGAACTGAAATGAGAAAAGGGGTAAACGATTTATTAGCAAAAGCTAGTTAGAAACTTATGTGCAGGAGTAATTGATACGGGCGGCTGGAATTTCCTTTCTCAATTAAACAAGATTTTCTTCGCAAAATTTACGATATAAGTAAAATTTAGGAGATTGCGTTGACAATATAGTAATGAATAATTTGCATTACTTCAATGTCTCTTATATAAGATATAAATTTACGATATTAAATTTACGGTATTAAAATTCAATAAGGTTAAAGACTTTCAGTAGAACTATTTTAGTAAACTGCGCAGCCTAGTTATTTTTAACCGTTATTCTGAGGTTTTGAGGAACATATTAGGTGTACGATAATGCATTAAACGGTACACATGTCACTGTATGATTGGTTTTGCCAATTTAAATTTAATTGTAACGCATCACTAGTTTATTAGCAAAATTAAAGAACACTTCGTTTACGGTATTCAGTTTACGATATAAATTAACGATAAAAGTCTTACGATATTAAATAAACGCAATTTTTTTACATTTGGGTTGGAAATAAATCCGTGGTCATTGATCACGATATTAGATTTGTGATACACCTTTTGTGGCATTCAGTTTATCATCCGTTATATTGAGCTTTGTATTTACCACTCTTTGTTATCGGAAAACTTGGAAAACAAAGTCTGAGCGCTAGAAGTTATAGCTGCTATTTCGGTAAAAATCCCATCTCATCAGTTTTTGTTTAGACTTCAGCTGCAGAAAGAAAAAATTGTGATGAGGACACCCTCACCCTCTGATATACTATAGCTATAGCTCAAAACAATTGTTGACAAAATTCAGTTATTACGTTACAATAATAACAAAAAGGGCCGCTGTGGTGTAGTGGTAAGCAGTGCGCGCTTCCACTCCACAATGCCTGGGTTCAAACCCTGGTCAAAGCAACATCGCAAAAATATAGAAAAAAGGTTTTTTCTTAACAGCGGTCGTCCCTCGGCAGGCAATGGCAAACCTCCGAGTGTATTTCTGCCATGAAAAACAGCTTCTCATAAAAATACAATCGCCGTTCGGAGTCGGCGTAAAACTGTAGGTCCCTCCGCTTTGTGTGACAACATCAAGGCGCACGCCACAAATCGGAGGAGAAGCTCGGCCAAACACTAACATATGTGTAAGCGCCAATCTATTATTATTATTATTAATAACAAAAAGGGATTTCGATTTGATTTACGATATGACTTCTATTATATTTGATCTACGGTATAAGGTTTACGTATTATTTTTTAATTAAAGCTTTTTATGAAGCTACGCTGATTTAGTTGTAAGTTTAAAAATAATTAATCACATTGTGAAACTTTAATTTCTTAGGAAGATTTAAGTCTAAACGTATTAGGTTTTGACCTCTTTAGCTATTAATTAATTAAAATAATTATTCTGAAATACTTTTTAATTAAAATTAGCTAGTACAAATATGTTCACTTTCTTTCACAATACATCTCGGGTGCAAATAAAATATTTGCAGTCCGTTTATCGGTGCTAGAATTTACGATATAGTATATTTATGTTTTTATACATTTTCATTTCTTTCTTTCACATTTATTTCACAGGATCACTTCATTTAAAATTTCTACTTATATTTTTATTTTTATTCATTATCCTTTTTATTGCCCACCTTCATGTTGCTTTTTATTTTTGTTTGGAGCTTAGGGGACGTTGGTTCACAAGAACTTTCTTAACGGCTTGAAGCTTGAAATGTTACCATGATCAGTCTTTGCGCTTGGGTGATCTTTTATACGTTTTAATTAGCATTTCGCTACCGTTTCAGAAACGATATGTCTATGTACACTTGACTTCTAGCCTGCGGTAACATAGAAGTATTTTTTATCTTGCTCCATACAAGTTGACCATTGCAAAATTGTACATTATACAATATGTAAACCATTTATTATAAAAATAGCACAACAAAAAATACTTTGATCCAGTTCCAGTTTTGCGTTTCAATGGCTAATGAATATCAAATCAATGGCAGTTGTGTTCGAATGAGCAGAAAATACCTACATAAATGGACTGCTGGTAAAATACTAGGTGACGCGGAAACAGTCTTTATGTCGTCTTAA